AATCAAGAGCATTTAGCTTTCTACCAAAAAAGCGTGAAAAAAGTATACACTACGGGTTCAAGGTTCAAGCACGAAGTTTAAGGTAGGGTTAAGTTGGTCGTGCATTAAAACACACCTTTGAAAATTTCCTTCTTACTCAAGTCATAATTACGATAATTATGACTTTAGGTTCATACAGGTTTGGGATACACGTAGACTTTGGTCATAGATTAAAAATTCAAATACCTTTGAAAAACTTAACGTTTTTCAGTCTGGACATTTGGCAAGCAAACTGTATGGATGATTGCAAAATGAATTCTTTTGGTGTAATTACGACATTTTTTTTTCAAAAGGCAAAGTAACGCCTTTTCACTTCGCTCTACCTAGGTTTTTTTAAAGGCGTTTTTCGAAAGGCGTTACGGCATTTTTCTATATCGTGACATTACGTAGAATTATGACGCCTCTTAATGCTGCGAGTATGTTTTTGTTTTGTTTTGTTTTTTTGTTTTTTTTACTGAAACCCTTATTCTAATGTTATTGTTTGTGTTTTCATTGCAAATGTATGATACATGTATAAGAATAATTCCTGAAACATACACGTGTATCTGGTTGGGGATGGGGTAGTCTATAAACAAATGTGCATACCTCGCTAAAATATATATTTCACTTCGAGGAAGTAAAAGATAAATCACAAAATTTAGAGTGTTCCCTGATTCAGAACAATAAATGGTCGATAATGTTAAAGTCATTACCTAATAAACGAAAACTTTCACTGGTCAAGGGTGTAATTAAAAGAAAAAGCTAGCAATCCATCATGTATTATAAAGGTTGTTCAACTATTCGCATAAAGTTCATAATGTGTTTATGCCTAAGATAAGAGACTGAAAATTACACGATATTTAATTATATGGAACAAAGAGATTTCTGTGTATATATAATATTCTGAGCTAAATAGGGGAAAAATGATCATTGTTTGATTTTATTTTGTTTTCAAAATTAAAAAGGCAAAATTTAATATCTTTACAATGTTGTTTTTTTCTTTGAAGTATTATAAAACCCGGACAGTGCCATTTATTTTACTACTGCAGTTTGGGTCGATGGTGTGGATGTCGCGACAGTGCGATGATACGATGGTGAGATGACGATGATGCTTTGGCGCAATAAAGTGATGACAATAGCACAGTGATGCAATGACGACTGTGCAATGGAAAATGAAGCGATAACGCGTCGATACGATGAAACGATGGCACGATGAAGTGATGTTTAATATAAATCCATCGTGCTACCCCCTATCGTCAACACACCATCGCATCGTCGTCATCACACTATTGCATCGTCGCCATTGCACTATTGTATCATCCCCATCGCACTATTGCATCATCGCCACATCGCACTATCGCGTCATAATCTAATGATGCGTTGATATGCAACAGACTTCTAATATGAAAGTTTGGTTCTATAACTCCTGTAATATGATTATATTTCATGTTTCATATTTTTTTATTGATATTTATCAAATTTTCACATTAAATAGGATAAGTTCATAGATTCACATTCTATAAATTTGAAATACAATGTATATGCTATTTATCATCAACTGACATGCACTTGATCATAGTTAATTAATTGATACACAATCTGGATATGGGCATTTTTTTTCATTTTTGTGACAGATTATATCTAAATTATTGACTGATATTTTAAAGTCTTTTAAAAGGAAGTTTAAGAGAGCCAAAAGTTTGAATTCTGCTGGAGAGTGTTTCAAGTTTGCAGAATGTCATCAAAATACAGACAATTCCTCTGCGGTAGAAGAAAGGGATGAATAAAAGGGTTCTTCATGTCTTACATATAGGGGTATCGTTTTTAATTGAAAGAAAATGACATTGCAAAATTTCCATGCAGAGGACTGGTGTAGAACATAATGTTCCAAACCAAATTTACAAGTTTTTTTTTTTTCAAATTTAATCTTGTTATAGATATTTAATCATTTTGATAGAAGAATATATCAAACATAGTTTTGCAATTGAAATTTTTAATTGCGCTAGCGTTATTTAAATTATTTCCTTTCGATTTGCATAACTAATTTACCTTCCAATGAATTCTGAGACTGTGGACGTGTTTTTGAGTTCTTAGCTTTTTTTATTGGTTTCATTAAAATTGTGTTCATTTCTGGCTATGTATATTAGAATAGTTTATTTTAAAAAGGGGCATTTTGGATCTGTAAGGCCGGAATACGTAATGCTGTATCGACCGTAAGCTTGAAAAACATCTACACAAAGGCTTATTATGATCCAGAAAATATCAAAATGCAAATTCGCATTTATTCAGAGAAAGTGCTAATTATTCCTATCGATCAAATTTAAGTTTATTCTTTCTAAGAGCATCATTGGGTGTTTTTTATTTTTCATTCTCGATGGAAATGGGATATCAATAATTATTTATATCCATTTTAGATAATTATTAGTCAAATATTTCTTCTTTATTTGACACTTTTATTTTATAGCTTTCATGAGAAAAAAAAATCTAAAAATGAATTTGCTTCTTTGTTTGAAGTGAGATATTTATGTTCATGTATTGCACTGGACCAAAGCACAAATACTGCATAATTTAGCGGAAATACCTCCGCGGACACTATGTTCTTCCCAATTATCGATCTTGACTTGTTTGCCTCGTTAAAATGTTGAAATCATTACGATATTCGTTCATTATGATTCACAAATTAATGCTTCAGAGGATATCAAACCGCTGACCCGGGCGCACTGGGTGACCCGTGCGTGATTGGATTTCGTTGTTAATTTTCGCAATGGCTTCCGTAGAGCTGTTTTTACTCGTTTCTTTAGATGTTAATTCAGTTCCGAGCTGAGTAATTGGTCTGCCTCAAATAAAGACCCATGACGCAATGTCACGTACGTGTCCTCAGATTTCTTTTTTCTTTTTTTTTTTCTTTTTAATAAGGCAGAACTGAACTGTCTGAGTTATCTTTCAAATACATGTACTACTCATTTTTCACCTGACTCTCACTTTATTGGCCAGCATTTTATCATACAGTTTTATTTTGCTTAAACAACGTGACCAATATCAGTTACTATTATAAAAGGCGTCTGTATTGTATTGGACAGGTCAAATTTTCCATGTGATACATAAGCCAGCAGAATTTGGATTGACTAAATTTCTGGGAATAAAGATCGTTTCCTGGGATTGAGTTTAAATGAAATTGCGATGACAACGTAGTCAAAAGCCTGAAATCAATTTTGTTAAACTGATATTTACAATATCTCTTTCCAATGAAGATTCCAATTACACCGACACATTTTGTCATTTTAGACACGAAATAAGGCAACGATAGGGAATAACAAATTTTACATAGTAATAGAAAGGAAAACGCCTGCAAAATTTTCATGTTCAATAACAAGAAAAGTAGCAATTATTAATCACTGGGTGCAAGTTTGTTGCTTGAATATACAGGTTCAATTAACTTTGCCTAATCAAGGCTTTATAGAAAAAGTATAGGGAAGTGAGGCCAAGAATAGGACAATATTTTATGTTTCAAAATGGAGTTTAAAATCTACTGATTTTTTTTTTTCAAGAATAGCTGGGACGAAAATTGCAAAATTATACAAACCTTAACATGCATCGTAGGTGAAGATGTAGTGGCATCATGGATTTTGTTTTTTGTTGATGCAATGTCCGTGTTTTAAAGCTTCACACAGGAATTGATAGGAGGAGAGAAAAGCAGAGAACTGATAATTAAACAAAGAAAAAAAAAGCTTGTTGAATGATACTAATTACATTACCATTAATGGCCAGTTTCGTTGATTTTTTTTTCTCTTGGCAAAAAATGCATGTCTTCTCGTTGCAGTTGTGGTATTAGTATCTATCTATACAAAAATTTAGTCTAGTTAAAGTTGCATAATGAGTCAAAACCAGGTGTTTCTTTTAAGAAAAGTGTATCACAAAACAAAAGATTTCTGTGAAATGTGAATATAGCGAAGTTTTGACAACTCAACTGCACTGTAAAGCAAGAAAAAAAAAACTGCAAAATATAACAGCCGGAAAAACAAATGTTGTATCTATCGTTTTGTTTTTATCGTCAATGTCAACAGTGTCAAGGTCACGCGTCCTTTATTTTTAGCGTGAAACTTGTAAACAACATTGAATTGGGGCAAGCAGAAGTAAGGAATAAGTTATGATCATCTTTTTTGAAGATTGTATCAAAATTCTCAGTCATCCGACATTTATATCCATGGAAAATTCTTCAACTTTTCGGCGCATGCGTACAATAAAGAGGAAGAAGTGAAGCAATATTTTTGTGATGGGTTATACAAAGATTTTTTTTTTTTACTTTTGTTGTTCTCCATTAAATTAGATTTTATAGGTTCTGAAACCTGTAATTTTCTGAAACCTAATATCTTCAAGAACTGAACAAAATTTGCATGTATCATGCAAAAATTCTACTGTTGTCAATTTTCCCGTTTGTCCGTCACAGTGTCACTTTAACTGTATTTACAATTATACATATTTAATACTTTGATACTTTACTTTGATAGTATGATAACTATGATTCTGAGAAATTTTACTATGATAAATTGATTAACTATTAATCTTTCCTCTAAAAATATCGCATGAATGAATCGGAAAAAATGAAATTGAACGATTTGAAATTCACGATCATGGTAAAAATACTTTGCTATTATAAAAACTTCGATTTTCTTTATCAAAAACACTTGTTACCTTGATGAATCTATAGTAAAAACTCTGAAACCATAGTAATGCATAGTTTGTTAGAGCACCAATGCATGTATTATTTTTTTAGTTTAATTCTGTCGACCGTTCTTTCTGCTACAATATTTCATTTTTTTGATTTCAGGTTGACACAGCTTAATTAAGCATTTTTATATGACCAGCATAAGACAATGAATTGATGCGTTTCTCCAGCTGTCGCTACTGCAGACATGGTGTATTGTAAAAAATAAATCAGGACACACCTTTTCCATATTGATCAAAGTCTATTGCACTTAAATTTCATGGCAATACAGGAACTCGGTCTAGTTCGGATAAGACTTTCTTGATTTTTTTAAATTTAAAAACACGTTGTGGCTCCATATTTATCAAAGACGAGAAGGTAAGAAAAATTTCATTGATGTAAATTAGTTTAAAAAATCTTCAGCATTTACACAATCTCTCTCTCTCTCTCTCTCTCTCTCTCCCCCCTTGTACTATAATTATAAGTTAGGTAGTGCATACTTGCAATCCTTTAATACATGTACATTCAACCAATCCACACAGAAGCATCATTGCGCTCATTGTAATGCAGAATGATATGCAAAATTTATCCATTCATAACGTGTGTGTGTGTGAAAGCAAGCAATAGGAAGTGCGAGCCTTTTCTTTTTTATTTTGTAGTCGCGTACAGAGAAGCAAGGGCAAGCAGCTCATAAATGTGAATAAAATTACCCAACTCATTTTGGCAGTGAAATGAAGCAAGTTTATCCATCTTAATGAATCTTCTTCAGAATCTTCTAATGAAGACGAATACAGCATAAACCTTGGTTACATTGTGAAGAAAAAGGAATATTTCTAGGATTTGCCAAATTAAGCGCGAGAACTCGTTGAGACGAGTCGAGAAAATATTGAATATTGACGAAGGCCGAGACCAGCGTATCACGCCACTAGTACATCATGTAGAGGTTTATAAAGAAATTAAGTTTACCATAAGATCAGTCAGGAGTATAACCACGGAGCATAAATCCCCCTTTTCTGGCTTCCAATATGAATTTAAGCAACGGGACTTTGGACGTGTACCAAAACTCGGAGGGACTAGATTTACCCTATGCTGTGATAACAGGAATTGTGCTTTTCAGTATTTTATTTATGACAGTTTTTGGAAATCTTTTAGTTTTAATTGCAGTGGCCATTAATGAAAATCTGCGACACACAACGAACTACTTTATTGTTAATTTAGCTTGTGCGGACCTTCTTCTGGGTTTGTCTGTGTTGCCTTTTTCGGCCACATTAGATATTTTGGGTTACTGGCCTTTCGGGTCAGTCATGTGTATTTTCTGGACTTCTGTGGATGTATTGTGGTGTACAGGATCCATAATTACCCTATGTGTTATCAGTGTGGACCGCTACATTGGAATTACTAAACCTTTACAACATGGAATTATTATGTCTGAAAAACGAGCTTGCTGGATTATCTCCCTTGTTTGGGTTGTCTCGCTTGCCATTTCCATTGGTCCTGTATTTGGATGGCGGCACGATCGGAAAGTAGTTCAGACCAGTTGTCACGTGAATAAGGAACCAGCATATGTTATATTTTCAGTGACGGGATCATTTTACATCCCCATGTTTGTTATTGTATTTGTTTACTGTAGGATTTTCAAAAAAGTGAATAAACATAACAAACATTTAGAAAAAGGGGAGACAGTCACGACTTTGGGAAATTCATCCGCTAAGAAAATTAAACTTCGAGTTCATACAGGGCGCACTAGTAGCAACGCAGCTTTAAATGGAAACTCGAAACAGAATATGTCAGAGCGGTTAATAAAGTTTAACAAACAGAAAAAAGCCGCTAAAACCCTCGGAATCGTGGTTGGGGTTTTTATCCTTTGCTGGTTCCCTTTCTTTTTTGTCCTGCCGTTAGGTAAGAAGCATGTTTGATATAATATTTAAAGTTGATTAATTATGGAATTAACATGTTTGCACTACTGATCAGCATGGCAGATATAACTAAATGCTAAAATAGTCCTACATTCATTTTTGTTATGATGAGTCCAGTTTTTGAATATGGATATCAATAATTTCGACAATACATTTGCAAGATTTTTTTTAACCAAATTCTATTTTTAGAAAGAATTTTTATGCATTTGAATAACCCTATGAAATGAAGAATAAAATATACACTATCATTATTTCAGATGCAAATCGTTAAATTTCCTGAAGATTAATGCAACATTTTCTGACAAATAAACAATGTACATGTAAGATAGCATGCGATTGCGTATCTGCGCAAATAAAATTTAATTTAAACTTCACTGATTTATAAAGAAAAAGATAAATCAATGCCGTAAGATATGAATGCATTTTTTTTAGAATTTGAATTTGAAAGGGAAACTGTATTAATCAAAAGAGAAATACTTGTGTGAAATGAGAATATCGATAGCGTGAGAAAGTAGTCCTATAGTAAAAGTAAATTCTTCATTTGGGAAAATTCAATGCAGTTTCTTATTGTAAGAAATTGTGATTCCATGAATTATTTATGATAAGTTTCCTTTTATTATATATTTCAATCTGCCACAGATATCAGATTATAAAACCGTAGAAATAAGTTGAAAATTTTTTAATTAAAGACGTGACATGTATGATGTGAATATATTAATTGTGATATTGATGTAGTTAATATTTTGGGGATTTCTTATCCTCAATATTAAATTTAGATTAAGGGTGTACGCGATTTTATTTCAGCCCCATATCTCCTAGGATGTCTTTAACCTATTCCCACTTTTCGCCTGCTTATTACACTTCTATAGTCCTCTATGCGAGAGTTCGTTGTGGTTGCTGGTTTTGGCATATGGGTTCTATCTGGATACAACGGCTTCCTTTCAATCTACTTATGTTTTTTTTTTTCTTATTTGTTATTTATGACTAAATGTTTGTTTAATGGACAGATGGAATCTATGATCTGTAAAGTATTCAGCTAACTATTGTAATGCGTTTTCGTGAGTTTGTCATTGTCATCTGAATTGTATGAACATTAGTCTGTAATCCCAGTCAAGCACCATGGTTGAACTAGGATAACATTCTCTTTATTTGGGCAAGCCTTTGGATTTTTGTGTCCTTCCCGAGAAAAAAGAAAAGAGAGAAAAAATGGCATATATTTGGTTCATTTGTCAGATTTTTTTTTCTTTCTCGACCTTTCATCAGTCACAATAATAAAACAGGTGGGTAATTCATAGAGGTGATGTAATCTCTAATTTGCAAAAACAAATATTTTGCGGTCCTCGGTCATTATATCTATGTGGTCTGTGCGTGTTGTTACATGAGTTGATGAAAATTATAAATGGTAATCCACGCATGTGTTTTTACTTTTTCCGGCCGAACGACGCGCTCACGAATCACGATCAGTAGAAATATACGTTTAGGTATATTATAGTACATTGGATGTATGACATTGCGACTTCACAGTGAAGAGAGATGTGTTTGGGGAGAGATACTTTACCGTTAATTATTTTGTCATATTGTAAATGTTGTTTTTACCGCGCTGTGGTAAATATGAAAAATCGTAAATCTTGTCTTTCCTGACACCAGGGGAATTCCAAGTTAACAATTTGACGCCTTTCTGTCTTTCGAGAGTCAAAAAAAATTTAAACAGTCGATTCATCTAGATTCAGTGGAATAAAGAGAACAGGAAATTAAAGCACAGAACACAATGTAATGTAATTTTTTTAAACCCAATTTGTTATAACCTATCACAAGATCTACTCTATTCAAAAACGAATTCTCATAACAAGTATCTTTGATGCAAACTCGTTCTCAGTTGTTGCTGTCAAATCGAAATTATCTGTATCCAAACGAAACACTGTTTATACCAGGTCCAAATGAATGACGTTCAAGTTACGTAATTTTAAGACAGATACCAGATACATGCAATTCCAATATGAGCTCAAACAAGTCAGGAATCCTGTATCCTTGACAGTGTTTTCTATTCAATAAACAGCAGATATAATTATTCTTTTGTCTTCACATTTGAGAGACAGATTTTAGACTGAATGTCTTAATTTTATTTTATCGGACTTAGTGTACAGTAATCTTTAGTGTACAAAAATAATTCTATATATCGACTACATTAACAAAATGAGAAAGTAGAAATAGAATCCCGAATGGCCTGTAAAGTCACTGATCATGAGGACTGCCAAATCGTAAAATACTCCTTGGAAACCTTCATATATGCATGATGAAGGCAGAGTACATGCATGTGAAGAAAACGTGTAGATACATTTTTCAGATCCGCTCTGCATTGTTTTAAACACTCCCGATGGAATCGCTCGGACTTTATTTATATTAATATCTGGTATTTCTTTAAATTTTCACACGTGCATGTTCTCATAAATATGATAAACGTCCATGTGTCAGTGATAAAGCTAATGTTATCTCGGAGAATGGGAATTTAAAAGAACTAATCTGTATCGGACCTCACTATAATTATATCCCGCCAAACGATATGGGAAAGATAAAAGGTACTTTAATTGTTACATTACAACACATGCCTTTGTTATATCGCCAACAGAACTCTCTGTCCAGAAATGTCAATAAAAGAAAAGGAAATTCTATCCCTGTCTACGGAATTTTTAACTTTTAGATAATAGTACAAATTTACATGTATCTAAAAAAAAAATTTTAAAGGCAAATATCTCTTTAATTTTCTGAAAGTTGTTATCAATTCATTTTTAAATTAATTCTTTCTCTTTCTTCAAAAATTTAAAGCTGAAGATCCGGTAATGATTATTTTAATATTTTATTTATTTTATTTATTTTTTCATTTTTTTGTTTTTTAATTTTTATTTTTATTTATTTATTTATTTATTTATTATTTTCTTTTTTTGTTTTTTGTTTTTTTGGTTTCAAGAAGCATTGATTTCATTATCAAAACAAAAATAAACGCATAATAATACGACATGTTACGGATACAAAGGTATCTTTCTTATTCAGTGTGATTCTGTTGTTTAATTCTATATATAACCAGTTATTTATGGGTGTGATTCTGTTGTTTAATTCTATATATAACCAGTTATTTATGGGTGTGATTCTGTTGTTTAATTCTATATATAACCAGTTATTTATGGGTGTGACTCTGTTGTTTAATTCTATATATAACCAGTTATTTATGTGTGTGACTCTGTTGTTTAATTCTATATATAACCTGTTTTGTTCTGAACAGATACACATGACAAGCGCAATCGGAGCCATGAATAAAAAAGTTTTATTTATTAATCTTGTTTTATTTTTAAATTAATATTCTTAACAAAGAGATAGGACACAGGTGAACTTTAAGACTTTTTGACTTTGGATGTTAATGTTCTTAATTTTAAATCTCGGTTCTACGTTAATTATTTAATGCTTCTGTAACTAAACATGCTTTGCACTTATAGGGAAAAAAGAGTCAAAATTATGTGCAATGTATCTTCAATTCACACTTATTTTATTTATTTATTTATTTACTTTTTTGGCTTTTTATATACCGGTATCATTGGCCCTTATTCTTTAGTTTGTTGTATATGTACAGGTGTACATAAAAACTTATTTGTTTGATGTTTTTAGCAACTTGACGTCTGTTTTAGCTAGATGGACAGATTTATAACCCCATTTTTACAGACAATGTTATTTAATTAAAGTAGGGATTTTTTTTTTAAACCAAGCATAAATTTTACATTCATTTGCTATTAAAGAACACACACATTTATTGTAGATAACAGATGGAGCTGAGTGTTTATTGATTTTAGATAAGACAGAAATCAGCCAATGTGAACCCCTCTTTGTAGAATGTTTAACATCTGTTTTTATTCATTTCATTAGATACTCTGTAATCAAAAAAGTCTCCTGCTATTTTCCAATCTAATGTTTTAAATAAATACTCGACAAATTAAAATTGTGATATAATCATTAACAACTTCAGTGTAAAAGTACTAGCAATTTAAGAATAATACATTAATTCAAGTATTTTCAGAATACATTAAAAAGTTTCTTGTGTCAGAATTTATATTAGCGTGTAATACCTTATGTTTCTTACCAAGGAGAAAATAAACGTACATTTTATTCGAACGCTCCATATTAAGTTCGCTTTTTAAATCTTACACTTTGCATATTCAATAAATATACTTCGTAATACTTGTTTACAATTGGTATGAATATAACTTAATCAGATGACCTTCTTGATACATCTTAGGCAGTATCTCTACTGATGTGGAAAGCTGCTATAAAGCATTTGCCCGACGAAAAATTTTCTGCGATCTCTTGATCTTTTAGTTTTGCTTTATCATCACTCTAAACACTGTAACCAGGTTGAATAATTTTAAGAAAATGTTACGTAACTTTTAGGAGGGGTTGTTATTTTTCCTGTCATATGCCATCGATTGATATCGTTTAAGTTATTTTTTTTGTGTTTCCATGTTGCCAGAAATGTTCTTTTTAATAGATAACACGTTTTTAAATTTGACAGCATCCTCATATGTAAATGTAGAAACCTTTTGTTTCAAAGTCTTTTTAAATACATCTAGGAACAGTTTATATCATTTCTAGAATAGCAGGACCTTCGCTGCTTGGCCATATTAACGAACATTTATCCACTTGTAGTGCTGATACACATGTATTCTAATCACTGAATTTCAGTTTGCCCAGTCATAACAAGGAGCGCATGGGGGATGTGACCTGTCTGTCGCTAGGGGATGATTACTCCTCCTTGGCACCCGATCCCATCTCTGATGTTTTTAGAGGTCCGTTTTGTTCTGCTCCTAATCTGTACTGTTAAAATAGGCTTTTGAGCTTGATTACTGTTCGTAATCTTTATATTTCATGGAGCCATTGAAATGCAATCTACAATGTACATGTATCAAGTAATCATGGCAAGATAAGTTATAACTTCTACTG